TGAGGCAGAGGGCCAGCAAAGGCAAAGAGGACCCGTAGCGAGATGGAGCTGCAATGACAGGCTCCCCAGGCTGGCAACTGTGAGGTTGATACAGGACCAGGCAGGGTTTTGCTCTGGATAAAGTGGGAGAAAAGGTCCCATTGCACAAGGTAATCACAAGTTGTAGATAATTTGATGACAGCTAACAACAACAGATGACATAACTGACCCTTGAGGGGTCAGTTGCCCAAAGCTCAGCTAGGAGTTGGCAAAGCTGGGAGTAGTGGATCCTACATCGATCTGCCTGAGGTCGGTCTGTGACTTCATGGTTTCTCTACCACAGGACATCTGACCTTTTCAGATTTGCTGCTGTCGAAGCTTGTTTTGGCCTCTGAGTGAGGCAATGATGGCAAGGCTTTGTCTCCATGCTTTGGTCATGTTACAGGAGGGACCAGTCCCTGGGGAAGGACATCCTGCGTGGTAAAGTCGATGGTCAGAGAAAAAAGGAAGACGCTCAATGAGATGGACTGACACGTTGTTGTTGTTGTTGTTATTTGCCGTCGAGTCGGCCCCGACTTATAGCGACCCCTCCTTGGGTTTCCGAGGCAGTATCACTACGGAAGTAGGATTGCCCAACCTTCCTTCCGAGGAGTGGCTGGTGGATGGACTGACACAGTGGCTGCAAAAATGGGCTCAAATGTGGCAATGATTGTTCGGATGATGCAGGACCAGGCAATTTCATTCTGTTGTACATGGGGTCACTGTGAGCCAAAACTAACTCTCTGGCACCTGACAATAAAGGCGGCCGTCAAAAAATTAATGTGACTGTTACAAGAATGATTCTTAGCGTTGAACTATTTAATATTCAGAAGTGCTAACGCATCACACAGTGATCTGGAATCACTTCCCGAAGTGTTAATGGTTGCAGAGATGGAAAGGCTATAAAATCCTTATTAAGAGGTCTCTGCTCCTGACAAATGGTTTCCTACTCCAGGAAGATGTCAGGAAGTGAAGCAGTCCTTTATTGTTGGAAGAGGAAGAGTCATAAAAATTCTGCTTAAGAAATATCCTGCAGTCGATGGAGACTAGTGAAATCCCTGAGACTGTGGCCCCAGGTTACCCTTCGGGCTGGAATTGGACTCACTCCCGGTTAGTTCTCAGCCAAACAATAGATAGGCCTATGAGCTGAACAACTACACCAGAGATGCACTCCTTAGAACAGCCAGCCATCAGAGATTGGAAGGGCAGTATTTGCAAAGGGGGAAAGCTAGACAGCCAGCAATGCATAGATAAAAAGGTCACAGGGAAGGGATAACCACAGGGAGGAGGTGGGAGGACAGCTGTTCCATTGTGGGGATTGAAGTGGATGTCATTAAACAAAGTAGGTACGGATTGTTGAGTGTAAAACTAATCTGCATTGTAAAATTGCACCAAAGACACAATGAAAAAAATTTTAAAAAATATATATCCTTCAGTTCCATGTTCTTAATTGGCATTAGCATTTTCCTATACTGTTTTTTAAATGATTTAGCATTTGAATAGTAATATAAGGGGTTATATTCCATTAATGTAATCATGGTGTTTCAAATATGAGTCCAAGAAAAGTGGATCAAAACCAACAAGAATGAGAATATGGCCATGGTATCTTTTAGCCAAAGAATCTATTTGAATGATGGAATTACTGAAACATATTTGCAAATTTAAAACTTTATTTCAGCAAAAGCAGCATAATTAAGAGAAATGCATATCTTGAGTCTTGGTCCACTGTCATTGCTATCCAAAAGCCTTGACATGCCATACTTCACACAACCTTATGCTGGGCTCTCTGCTGAGGGTCACGTGGCAGTGCTTGTTTCTGGAATGACAGTGGAACAATGGCTGGAGGACTGCCCTGCCTGTCATTCCATATGCACTCAGTCAAGTCACTGTCTATATGTCAGCAAAATCAGCACTCACTCTGAAGTGCCCGTCACCCCGAGGGTGCACATGTCCAGGCCAGCCACGCCTGGCCGATGTAACTGAAACTTCAGCTGGGACGATCTTAAAGCAACTCCGCTAAGCTGTATGAGTGTTCTTGGGCGACTGTAACAAATTACCACAAACCTGGCAGCTTCAAGCAGCAGACATTGATTCTCACAGTTCTGAAGTCTGAATGCAGGCTGTCAGCAGTACATATGGGTTGTTTTTGTTTGTTATTGTTGTAATGAGAACATTTTGCTAGTAGCATTAATGAATCAGTTTGTTCTCTTTAAAGACATCCAATGGATATTGATCATCTTTTCTGAGTTTTGAACATCATTTTGGAAAAACAAAAGCTGAGACCACCCGTGGGAGAGATCACAAGTTCCTGCACATGTCTTCGTGCACATACAGGATGTGCAACCCATGGACTGTCGGACCTCATTCTACTTACAATACTGGCATCTCATGTGGCTCAACTCTGTTTTATCTTGAGAAAGACTAGTGAAATGACCGTCTTTCTCATAAGTGAATTACTGAACATTACTAACTACAGCAGAAGTAATGTACACTCACATGACAGTTCTCCTCTATGCAACACCTGCCTTGTCTTCTCCATGGATACATCGCTACATTATTGCCTGGCTCCTAGTGAATACTGTTCACTGCTCGAGGTGTAGAATGTGTTTGCTTTTGCCCCACCAGTCAGGGTTTAGTAAGCTGTCTGTAAACAAAGCGTTCTCTCTTTCCCTCTTTCCAGGGTTGTGTCTGTAAAGACAAGAGCTGGTGCTTCTGTGATGGGGCCAAAGGCGAGAAGGTAATACCAAGATCTTCATCTTTGCATTTCACTGTAGAGCCATTAAGCAATGTCTGTCCTCTCATCAGTAACAGAAAGATAGGCAGTGTGTTGTTCCATTACCTGACTCCAACTTTAAAGTACTTGTTTATACACATTGGCCTCCCTGGGTGGTGCAAACAGTTAACACACTCAGATGAACTGAAAGTGTGGGGATTCCAGTCCGCTGAGAGGTCCCTTGGAGGAAACGCATGGCAATCTGCTTCTGAAAAAAATCAGCCATTGCAAACCCTACTGAGCACAGTTCTACTCTGACTCACCTGGGGCTGCCATGAGTTGGAATGGACTCAGTGGCAACGGGTAATTGGATATAAACATTAACCTTGGGAGAAAAAAAAAAAAGGATAATAACCTTCTAAGAAGCTTTGGATCACTTGTTTAAATAATGGCAGTTAAATTATAACTGTCTCCTCTGTTAGGAATAAGTAGCAAGTTAACTAAAAAGAGAGTGTATGAGAAGTCCTCCGTATGTGCACACTATTTATGATATTGCTAAACACGACACAACAAGTGCAAACAACTTGATTCGCTCACTTTGGCATAAAGTAAACATTGAAACCCAGTTTAAGCTCTGCAGCACTGGCACAAGATCGCCCCCTGGTGGAGCAGCGTCTAAGTTTCAGCAAGAATCTCCCAGTAGGAAGTAGAAGGAGCTCCATTGACGAATTTAAGAAAAAAAGGAATGTGGTGAACTCTCATTAATTCGCTCCATTAACTTGCAATTTATGATCATTAAGACAGAAGCAGAACAAAAGTTTTTTCGTTGCTTACAAAAACCCTTTCCTCAGAGGCACTAATTAATTGTTTAACGATACTGAAGGAAGCCAACTAAAAATATTTTTCACAGAATACATTTTAAGCTCTTGAATAAAATGCTTTAAATATAGTTTATGTGCTAATAATAAAATTGGTATTGCATTTACTTTCACATATTATGCAGTTTGTGTGTAGTTTGAGTCAGGGTTTTGCCTGCAGCTATGGCATGAGTCGATCCAGGTCCAAGTTGGAAAGCTCTGTCACTGTGATCCGTCCTTGATTCAGAAAGCATCATTGCGGTCCTGCTCTTTGCAAGATGCTGAGCTAGGGTGTGTGAAAATAACTGAGAGAAGTACAGTAAATTCTTTCCTTTCTTTTTTTATTGTACTCATTTGCATGCACGTGCATGCACACGGACACACACGTACACAATGTCAGATAGCTGACTATGCCAGATAGCTGACTTGATTTATTCACTATTATTTCATTTGCCAGTCATGTCACTAAGGTCGTCACTAAGGTTGTGTCAGCCCATGGTCTTTCTGACTAGAGGGGGATCCCAGGATCCAGGCCAACAACGGGAAGATTATCCCTGCAGAACTGTGTCACACACTGAGTCTCTATTACTTCCACTCACTCTTGCTAGAGGCTTTTCCATATCATCTAATTCCTTCTGGGGGAAAAAAATAAAACCTGTCCTTACACTTTTGGTTATGCCCCTTGTGGTACATCTACTGCATCTCCCTACACAGATATTGTTGTTAGGTGCCGTCAAGTCATCTCCAACTCATAGTGACCCCATGCACAGCAGAACCAAACACTGCCTGGTCCTGTGCCAGCCTCACGATCCCTGCTATACCTGAGCCCATCGCTGCAGCCACCATGTCAATCCATCTCGTTGAGGGCCTTCCCCTCTTTCGTTGACCCTCCACTTTACCAAGCATGACATCCTTCTCCAGAGAATGGTCCCTTCTGACAGCATGACCAAAGCATGTGAGACAAAGTCTGGCCATTCTTGCTTCCAAGGAGCATTCTGGCTGCACTTCTTCCAGGACAGATTTGTTAGCAAATAGCAGATTAAATTATTAATTCCTTATCATCTAGAAATGACTAAATTCAAAACCTACATGTTGTTCTTTTCAGGCCACATCCTAATTATGGCCACTCCCAAAACACATTCTTGTACCTTACCCTTGACCTACCCACCCACCCAGCCCACCAACACACATACTCCGCTAACCTTAAGTTTTCTTACTGAGCTTTTCCCTCAGTTCTTGATTCCCTCTCTCTTAATCTCTGCTCTTGGAAGCTTTACTATGTGAGGAAAATAAAGTAACTAAAACAACCATAGGCAAATGCTGATGTAAGTTTCAAATTACCCAGAATTTCATCAAGTCATAAAGAAAAGAACAACATGATGTCATGTTGATTGTGGGATAGCTGCTATTCTTACCTTGTTTTGGCTTCAACAGGGGGAGAGAGGCTTTCCTGGACCCCCTGGATCTCCTGGCCAGAAAGGATTCCCAGGTCCTGAAGGCTTGCCTGGACCCCAGGGACCCAAGGTATGTCTTCCTGTAACTTGAAATATCCCCAGTCATCTAACGCTTCTCAGGACCTACCCTTGTCCCAGGTGGCCCAAATGGTTTGTGCTTGACTACTGACCTAAAGGTTGGTGGTTTGAACCCACCAAGTGGTGCCATGGAAGAAAGACCTGGTGATCTACTTCTCTAAAGATTACAGCCAAGAAAGCCGTGTGGAACTCAGTTCTACCATGTTACACGTGAGACTGCTATGGGTCAGATTGACTCAACAGCAGAGGGTTTTGTTTTTGGCTTTGGGCTACTGATTACCTGGAGAAAATACCACATACTAGCCAACCAATGGAGGCCATCATGACAAATTGATGGTCCCAGACCTCAGCCAGGCCCTGAGGACTGCATCCTGATTGAAGATCCTTCTGTCCATCATCACTGTCTTCAGGTCCCCTACTCAGCTTCCTCCCTGTCCCCCAGCCATGCACTTTCTACATCAGCATCTTCTCCCTATCTTCTTTTCTTCCAACTGAAGAGATGAGCGATTTTGTCATCCATCCAAGACCTACCACTGGGTTCCCACAAGGACTTTGTGCCTCAACGTCTCCCTCCTCTCTCAGTACTTCATAACTTCCCTTTGGCTGTTGACTTTCCCCTTTCAGTCCTTAAATATCTGAATATTTTCCTATACTAATAAAGTCCTTCCTCTCAATCCCCCAGGCCCTGTCACCATGGGATTGCCGTACTCTTCCCTTTTCTTCTTTGTCTGTCCAGCTTCTTAAAGAGCTGAACATACAGACTGTAGTGCATCCTTTATTCACGCCTCAAACCAAAAAACACCAACCCGGTTGCTGTTGATTCAATTCCAACTCATGGTGACTCCATGTTGTGCAGAGTGGGACTGCTCTATTGGGTTTTCTTGGCTATAATCTTTATATAAACAGATCACCAGGCCTTTCTTCTGAGGGGCAGTAGTTGAACATACTGCACTCCTCACCAGCTATAATTTACCCTCTCCCTGCAACCCAACCACAAAACCAAAGTCATTGCCTTCAGATCGATTCTAACTCATAGTGACCCATAGGATTTCCAAGGCTGTAATGTTTATGGCGGCAGACTGCTGTATCTTTCTCTTGTGAAGCAACTGGTGGGTTCGAACCACTGACCTTTTGGTTAGCAGCTGAGCCCTTAAACACTATGCCACCATGGCTCCTTCACCTGCACACACTCCTCTGAAAATAGCCCTGAAAAGATCACCAGTGATCTCCAAATGGCCAATGTTCGTGGATTCTTCTAAGTCCTTATTGGACCTGGACTCTCTTTGTTTCAAGCCAAAGGCCACTCTCTTCTCCTTGGAACACCCATCTCTTTGTTTCTGGGATCTGTCTTTTCCTGATCCTATTCCTGTCTCCTCAGCTTCCCCCTACCCCCCGATGCCCCAGCTCCTTTCTCAGCTGCTCCCTAAACACCAGGGTTAGGGTCCTAAGGTTCTGAGCAGAACCTAACTGTCCTTCACACTTATATGTTTTTTATTGCCGAATGTCTGTGATACAGTGCAGGGCTTTGTTCACACAAATACCCTGCAAGATCTACTGAATCACAGCGTAATCATAGAGTTGCTGATTGTTCTTTCCCAAGGACATTAGCTGCACCTCAGCCTGTGAGAACCAAAAACCAAACTCACTGCCATCAAGTCAATTCTGACTCATAACGATCCCCCATTGGGTTGCCAAGTCTATAAATCTTTACAGAAGTAGATTGCCCCATCTTCCTTCCACAGAGTGGCTGGTGGGTTTGAACCACTGACCTGGTCATTCAAGCCTCAGGCTATTGTCCTCCAGCATGCTGTGAACTAACTAAAATTTGTGAAAGATAATTATAATTGATCTCCACATAGACTTTGTTTACATTTCACGCATAACGTACTTGAACATGTGTTAGAATGCTATCTAGAATATTTGAATGATAATAAAAGCCAACTCCCACTGCATCTTTTGTGCCAAGTGCTGACACGTTTATTCCTCACTGAGTCTCAGTGAAAAGTCACCAGGTGGCACAAATGGTTTGTATTCAAATTCTGGCCTAAAGATGGGCGGTACAAACCCGTCCAGGACTGCTGTGGAAGAAAGGCCTGGCTATCTGCTTCTGTAAAGATGATAGACAAGTCAACTCTATGCAGCAGTTCTATTCGGTCACACATGGGGTCGCCATGAGTTAGAAAAAATGAATGGGGATGGTTTGGGCATCCCATTGACTGCTCACATTGATTCCGTAAATTAGACTCTGGTAACATCTGTTAGTTCCCAGCATTATCTCCAGGTTATAGATGAGGAAACTGATGCAAAGCATACTTACGTAATTTGTCCTGGTTCTCACAGCTAATAAGGAGCTCTGGTTGTGTAGTGGATAAGGCATTTGGCTGCTACAGAAGGTCAGTGGTTCAAACCCACCAGCCGCTCTGCGGAAGGAAGATGGGGCAATCTACTTCCATGAAGATTTACACCTTGGAAACCCAATGGGGGTCGTTATGAGTCGGAATTGACTTGATGGCAGTGAGTTAGGTTTTTGGTTCTCACAGCTAATAGATGGCAAAGCCAGAGTCCAAAGCTGGTTTCATATGACTCCAGAATCAAACCCCTGCTTCCAGAGAAACTAAATCCACACAGTTTACAACCAACGATGCGGAAGCTTGCTGTCTCCCGGGAAGTCGGCTGTTGCCGTTTCTATCACACCCTTCTGCACATTTTCTTGCTCCATGTCACCTTTTCAATCCCGATTCTGGAAAATGCCTTCAGATTCTGGGAAGTATCTGTGCAGTCCATTGCCTGCCTCCGAGGCTCCTAGTAAAAAGAGCCCCCTGAGTGGCACAAAGGATTAAGCATGGGGCTCCGAACCAAAGAGTTGGTGGTTCAGATCCCCTCAGAGGCACCTCAGAAGAAAGGCCTGGCAATCTGCTTCAGAAGGTCGCATCCCTGAGAAACCCGTGAAGCACAGTTCCGCTCCGAAGCACGTGGGTCATCGTGAGTCACAGTCAACTCAACGGCAGCTGGTTCTTGGTTTTTCATGAGTGGAATGAATTTGTCGCTTCAACCCAGGACTTGGCACTGCCTGATGCTGGCTCCTTCCTTTGGCTTTGCTGTCTGCATCCCACTTTGCTTCTCCACCTCTTTAGAGATGCCAGCAATTAATTGAAAACTAGCTGCAAACCCACGGCTCTCCGGGTTAGCTCAGTGAGGCAGCAGTGTTCCCTATGTGTAATCCTGAGTTATGTACGTGCCCTGTCAGGAGTGAAGGTCGTGAAGTGTGGTTTACAAACATCATCGTGAAGGCAGACAATGTAGATCGTTGAAACCTGACCGAAAAGCCTTGTCAGCCGTATGAATTTCCTCCCCTAATCTGAAATCATTTCAGCACCAGGAAATTTACAACAGGCAGCTAAAACTTGCAAGTCACTCTTCTACCCCTGCATGAATGACGGGGAGAAGGGGACCAGCTGGCGAGCACGCCTAGCACCCAGGAATTCCGCTGCTGTCAGGAAAGGCTGACTTTGGCCTTGACGGTCGAATCTAATCTCAGCAGACTCTGTAACAATGCTTTTCTCAGACAAACAAAACTACCAAAATGTACTGAAATGCTCAGGAATTCTGAAAACAGCCTTTGGAAAACGAAATTTTCACACCACAGTTGGTGGTTAAAATGATCTTCATTTAAGGTTTTTCTGCAAGAAAGAGGGCCTCAAAACTGTATCCATTATGAGCCAGAAGCAAGTTGATCTCTGGTTTGGGCATTTCTCACTGGGCTCTTTGTGTCCTTGTGCGTGGCAGGTGCGTTCTGTTAATAAAGTATTTCTTGTGCAGGGAAAAACTGGCTGCCCTTGTAACCTTGTTGCTCATCCTTATCGGCCTCCTGCAGCTGCCTGGCCAGTGTGGGGCCTTTTCAGCAGTGCTTCTCACACTGAGGACTGCACCAGAATTCCCAGGGGATCTTGTTAATGTGCAGATTCAGATTCACAATCAATAGATTGGGGTGGGGGGAGCGCATCTAAGGCCCTGCCTTTCCGACAAGCTCCCAGGTGATGCTGAGGTTGCAGATCCTGGGACCTCACTTGGAGTAGCAGGGGCTTGAATGCATTTTTGTCTGTCCTTCTGGTAATAATTTTAACTCCAGTGAAATGAGCAAGAAGTTGAACCATATTAATAATGAAATAATCACAAGGGCCAAAGAGTTTAGCATGTGGTTGTGACTGGGACCTTTAATGTACAGGTCTCTTCATGCCAGATGTCCCTGGCTGGCACGTGCAGTTTATGATCTGCTAACTTAAAGGTTGATGGTTCAAACCCACCCGACAGCACCACAGAAGAAAGGTCTGGCAGTCTGTTCCCCTAAAGATAACAGCCAAGAAGACTGTGGAACACAGTTCTGCTCTGTAACATATGGGGTCATCAGGAGCAGGAAGCAGGTTCTGGGGGACTTTTAGGGCCAAGTAGCTGTCATAGTGTTTACCTTTTGGTTTTTCATTTGGACCCAGGGTTCTCCAGGACTTCAAGGACTCACTGGTCCCAAAGGCATCAGGGTTAGTACTCCAACTGGTCAATCCTGATTATTTGATGAAAATTCTTCTTCTTTTAAAAAGAATAACTCTGCCCGGTCAAAGGTATGCCGATGTCAATGTGTATGATTCCTTATATGAAGTTCAAAGACAGGTAAAACTAATCTATCGTGGAGAAGTCCATGCAGTGGCTACCAGATTGCGGGTGGGAATTGATTGACTGGGAAAGGGCACAAGGGAACCTTCTGGGATGGTGGAGATGGGCCCAGACCAGGGTGGTGGAAATACAGAGGTGTCAGGACAGTCACTTAAGCTTAGAGAACTTATTGTGTGCAAACTGTACCTTTAAAATCCATCCCTAAATGCCAAAAGGAATCATAATTGTGTTTTTCAAAAGTTATGTGAATGTAAGATTTACAAAGTTTTGTCAGACTTCTTTTGTATTTTGCAAATAATTTTTAGCTCTTCCCCACTTAGCTGCAGTAGGAGGTTATGGGAATGGTAGATCATTTCACATTTACATGCTGGACATTTAACCAACGTTTTTCTTACCCTTTCTTCTCTTTTCAATGTCTTTAGGGGATAACTGGTTTACCAGGATTTTCAGGTCCTCCCGGACTTCCCGTAAGTAATGGGGAAGATATGTACCTGGAAAAACAAAAAGTCACCCAGAATTAATCAAGATATTAAAACAGTAGCACAAGGAAATGTGTACTGGTGCATGTTCTGCATGGTAAAAAGCAGCAGAGTGAATCACATGACACATTAGCATGTGCATTTGTATGACTGACTCAAGTAGTATTTCCTGAAATCAATCAGACTAGAATGGAATGGAATAGGGGGAGCAGAATAGAACAGAAATGGTCTGTTTAATAAGATAGAGTAATTAAAAAGCACTTCTGGGCACACTTCCCTTTTCCTTTTTCTAAAATTTGAATTATAGCTACTTTTCTCTTTTTTCCTTTTCTTCCAGCTAAAAGTGGCATTTAAGGGTCTTACTTTTATGTTAAAAAGCCATTTGTTTTATCGAAAATATCCATACCTCCCTTGGTAATTCTTTATCTTACTTAGCCCATTTTGTTTGCTGTGATTGTTATTTAAATTCCTGTTTGAATGAATATTTAAATGTGCTATTTAACTATTAAAATAGCCATGACTATCTAAATCACTATTTAAATTAGTCCATTTTTCTTCCTCCTTGGCGTCTTATTTCTGTCTGGTCATGAGGCCCTGTAATCAGGCCTGGTCTATGAAATTTTCTGTCCTTTTCAGGGCATCCCGGGCAATACTGGACCTTCTGGGCTTCCAGGTTTACCAGGATGCAATGGTTCTAAGGTAAGTACTTCTCACATGGAGAATGATGAATAAATCTTCTGGTGAGTACTAAATTAAGATGACGTAGCAATGAAATGCAGACATGCTTTCCTTGAAACATCGTCTTAGCCAGAACCAAAGGTATGTGTTTTCAGGGGAGAAGTGTGGTTTTTGTACCAGAAGTCTTTCTATTTTATTTTTCCTTATTCCTTGCTTTCTAACTATCTCTTAGAGAAGTTCTCTCATGGAAAGATAATTGGGGCTCAATGGGTTAATTTCATGTGATACAGTGAGTAGCTATAAATCAGACTTGAAGCCTAGAATGCAAAACTCATCTGTGAAAAAAGAATGACTGCATTTTTCAGTGTTCACTCACCTCCTTTTGTTTCTGACTGTGCACTCCTTTTCCCCAAAATGGTAGCCATGAATGACCTAATTCTTAAAGTTTCAAGGAAACAGCAATTAAAAAGTTCTTGACACAATTAGTCTTTTGCCATTTATTACAATTTGAGAAAGAGTGGATTTTATTTCTCTTCTCAATTAAGATAATGGTTTTCTGGCCTTCAGCCTCATGACCCAGTAGCCATAAAGACTTGGATTTACATGTCTACATGTACCATGGCAAACTTGGAAGATGGAAGCAGAGAAAATATCTAAACAGGCTGTTCTCGAACAAGTAAGAATAATGACAAACCTTGTTTGTTTTCCAGGGTGAGCAGGGGTTTCCAGGACTACCAGGGACACCAGGCTATCCGGGGATCCCGGTAGGTTTCCACTTCTAACTGCCCATTAAAGGCACAGAGTATGAAGAAAAGTCGTCCACTTCCAAATGGTCACATACACAAATTCACCATGACCTTGGGAACATTTGGGACAGCCCCCATAGTGGACAGTCAGCTAATAGTTGTAGAGTGAATGAAAAAAATGCCTCATGAGTTTAGGTTTGGACTTTGAGATGTTGTTCTGTTTTTGAGACATCCAAGTGGACATGCATTACAGACAGTTGGATTTGCTCCAAGCAGAGGTCTGGGTTGGTGGTGGCTCAAGGAGTGAAAATGAGAGAAAAAAGGTGTGCAGAACTTGGACTTAGAGAACTCCAGCATGAGACACCTAGGCCAAGCAGAATGAGTGCGACAACGAGGAGTGAAACTATTAGTAGAAGGAAAACCAAGAGGGTTGTATTATGGAAGCCCAGGAAAAATATATTTCAAGTAGAAGGCACTGGTCCATAGTTGCCTAAAACTGCTAAGAAGGCCAGTAAGACAAGGACTGACATTTTGGCACTGACCTTGGCAATGGCAATGTCATTGCTGGCTGTAGCAAGGGATGCTTCTGTGACAGGCTGGGAGCAAGAGATGGGTTTGGTACACACTGAGGAATGAATGGCGGATAAACAGAATGGGAAGATTGCAGGTGGGATGGAAGACACACAGGGCAGTAATAGGAGATGGCAAGAGATTAAGGGGTGATTTGTTTATTTATGTGGAAGAGATCTGTGTGTGCTTAAGAGCCAGTGGGAAATACTCAGTGCGGAGAGGACACCAAATAGCACAGCGTGAACCAAGCTGTCATGTATTTGATTTTCCCCTAGTTATTAATCTTGCTGCTCTTTTTTTTAGGGTCCTGTCGGTCTGAAAGGAGAAAAGGTAAGTCCTTTGTAGAGTGTTGTTACTGAAAACCTCCAACTGTTGAAGAAGACTTCTATTAAATGACAAGATACAAGTAATTATATATCAGATTTCACAATCTACATCTTATTAATTCAGAATCCATAATAATTGGGACATGATATTTATTCTTATTGAACTTCTCCTGGACCTTTCAAGGGGCTTAGCGAATAGGATTTAGTGTCATCCTTTGAAGAAACAGGGACTAACAGAAAAGGACTGGCCTTGTACTGAGACACCCACATTCTAGACCTGGAATTGTCACTGATTTTAGTATCTTGGGAAATGACTTAGTATCCCTGTGCCTTTTTTCCTCCTATAGTAAATTGGCTACAGTAATTTAGGAAATAGGAAAATTCTTTGCATTCTTCAGAATGGAATGACAGTGTAGTCCTCGATCTTTTTTCTAAGTATATATTTCTGGAAAGCACTTTTATCCTTCACACAGGATGACCTTGAATCAGCATTGTAGGGGTTTTGAAAATATAACATTGATGATGTTTGATGAGTGTCTTCATTTTCAAGGGTGCCCCAGCTGACGGAAGAGATATAGAACTTGATGGAAAAGGTGACCCCGGATTGCCAGGAGCTCCAGGATTCCAGGTCCAATGCTCAGAGAAGTACTCTCTGTCTCATTCCTCACCCTCAGACTCCTTTCTCTTTCTGGCCTCGATTCTTTTCTGACTCTCATAAACCACAAACCAAATCCACTGCCTTTGAGTCGATTCAGACTCATAGCAACCCTGTAGGACAGGATAGAACTACCCCATAGGGTTTCCAAGGCTATAAATCTTTACAGAAGCAGACTGCCTCATCTCCCTCCTGTGGAGTGGCTGGTTTCTTTGAACTGCCAACATTTTGGTTAGCACCCAGATGCCTTAAGCACTACACCAGCAGAGCCAAATCTCACTCTCTTAAGAACATTTTTAATGATAGAGAATTACATTTATTCTGTTTACATGTCTGCCTCATTTTATTCTGAAACATTCACCTTATTATAAGAAACTAGACGGCTGGCGGTTCAAACCCACCAGCCACTCCTCGGAAGGAAGGTTGCGCAATCCTACTTCCGTAGTGATACTGCCTCGGAAACCCAAGGAGGTGTCGCTATGAGTCGGGGCCGACTCAACGGCACATAACAACAACAACAACAACAAGGTGCTGATAAACAAATGATTTAATGCTTTAAGTTGCATATATGTCTTTTAATATCTTCTCTCTAAAAAAAAAAAAAAGACCTTATAGCTCAGTTTCCCAAGCTTTCCTGAATCTAAGAAGGAATCGTCAATGAATTGTTACGTTCCAGTTGATCTTTTGGAAAAAAAAAAAGGGTCTGTATCATACATTTAATACAATTTAAAACTGTAATTTTTTGCTCACAACTGAACCAATAAGTAATATCATGATAAACAGAGAAAAGACTGAGGTTGTCAGGGATTTCATTTTACTTAGATCCATAGTCAATACCCATGGAAGCAGCTGGATGTAATATTCCCCATGATGAGACTGGCAATCAACTCCATGATGGAATCTACTGTGAGCAGCTGAGTAGCTGCCTTAGGGATGTGGTCTGTTTCCTATATATAAGGAGAAGCCTTGGGGAATGGTCTCTAGCCTATGGCACGCTTGAACCCTGCATGTAGCCGTGTCGTTATTCAGCAGCCTGCTATGCTCTGCCAACCTTGGAACTTTCAATGGACTTGAATTAATGGCCTGCCATGTGGTTTGGTAACATCGGGACTGTGCCTTTTTACTTATCAACCTTGGGCTTGTCAGTCTTAGCAGCCAGCAGGCTGTTGGAGTGAAGAAAAGCCTCTAGCTCCAGTGGGCCGGAAGCAGGAGACAGAGCTGAAGCCAAGGTTGAGGGGCTTTCACCCAGCCCCTAGAGACTGGCCCTTTGAACTCACACTTAAAGCCTCCAAACCGTAAGAGAGTAAACTCCTGTTTGTTAAAGCCATCCCATTTGTGGAGTATTCTTGTCAGAGCAGTACTAGGTAACCAAAACAATATTGCACTGGGCAAATCTGTTATAAAAGACGTCTTTAAAGTGCTGAAGGGCAAAAATGTTACCTTGAAGACTAAGGTTTGCCTGACCCAAGCCATTGTATTTTTAATTGCCTCATATGCATGTGAAAGCTGAACAATAAATAAGAAAAGGCTGAAGAAGAGTTGACGCTTTTGAGTTGTGGTGACTCCATGGCACCTAACAACAGCAACAACATGAGTTGTCTATGAATCTGATTCATCACCCGGGGACTGCCTGCATTTTAACTTAGTTCAGAATTATTTTTCCTGTGAAAGAGTGGACCACTCAGAGGGAGCAGTATTCAGAGTCCTGACAAATGAAATTAACGCAGTTAAATAATGGACATCATTCTTAGGTGAGAAAGAAACTTAAAGTTACCTTATTCTTCTTCTAATTTCAAGGGTTTGCCAGGCCCTCCAGGTTTTCCTGGACCTATGGGTCCACCTGGCCCTCCAGGATTCCTTGTAAGTATGTAGTCACCATTGTTACAGTCTCCATAAACTAGTAAGTTAACTTTACCTAAAAGTTTTTAAAAGATTTTTGGGGGCTGGATGTGTCTCCTGCTGTAAATTTAATTTGTGGATTTTTCTAGGGCTTTCCAGGAACCATGGGACCTCCAGGACCTAAGGTAAATTACTGTTCACATCTCGTATTAGCCAGAACGCCCTAATGAATCGGAAACCAATCCTGGTCTCATTCGACCTGTGCGTCACCACCAGGACCTTTATGGAGCTCACAGAGATTCCCAGCAGGGACGGGAGTGTGACTCCCAGTCCTCCACCCCGAACCCCCTTCTCCCTGTACTTAGGTAACTTGATCTCTGATGCAAAGAGCTGTAACTAACCACAAGGAGCTCTCATACAGAAATGGGGAAAACATCGAGGATCTCTGATCCACAGATTTCCCATTTCTGGTGATCCTGCTCATCACCCAACATGTCATCCTGTACATTTTTGTCATGGACTGCTCTCCAAAACCAACCTGATCACATATGAAGATATAAAAATTGGCTATTCATGAGCTCATTAAATAGGATCCTGAACGTGATCCTGTTAGAACTATTTGTTCTAGTAAGAAACTGTTGAGTGGGACTGAGCCTCACCAGGGAATTACACTCAGCATAGGGTCTCTCACTATCAGGTGAGGCTTCATCCAGAGCAGCCATCGTGGTGGCGGTTAAAGCACTCAGCTGCTAACTGAAAGCTCAGCAGCCAGAACCCACCAGCTGCTACTCAGGAGAAAGATGTGGCAGTCTCTTCCGTAAAGATGTACAGTCTTGGAAACTCAATGGGGCAGCTCTGTTCTGTCCTGTAGGGTTACTTTGAGTCAGGATCGACTCAACGGCAATGGGTTTGGGTTTTTGGTTACTCTTCGTGTGTAGGATACTTCCCAAGGTACTTTTACATTCTTTCTTACATTGCTGCACACACACGCTCCTAAATACACAAAATCTTACCTATAAGGTGCTTAGATGCAGGTTAAGTGACTTATCTGAGGTTAAATAGACAATGAATTGTTGAGCTGAAGTTTGAAGTCTTTTGATTCCTCATCTAAAATTGGTGGGCTAATAGGAAGATCTGCAAGCTCAAGAACACAAAAGCAAGAAGATACTGGCTGAAGTGATGCATTGACCATCATTTGTGGAGAGAAACTATTCATATTGAATGTCCAATAACAAACCAAACTCACTGCCGTGGAGTCAGATCCAACTCATAGTGACTCCTCCTTGGGTTTCTGAGACATTATCACTACAGAAGTAGATTGCCCAACCTTCCTTCCGAGGAGTGACTAGTGGGTTTGAAGTGCCAGCCTTCTGGTTAGCAGTAGAATGCCTTAGGCACTATGCCACCAGAGCTCCGGTATTAAACTTATGTCACTAAATAGTGAAATCGGGTCCTTTAATTCTGTTCTCAGCATCTCCATTTTTTTAATGTGGGTTCAGAACTGGTAACGTCGGTCCTGAGGTTCAGTTGTCCATCTTTTGTATATTTTGACAAGGAAACTAGGGCATCAGGAAGTCCAATACCCTGTCAGTAGAATCATGTCTTGGAGAGAGATGACAGAGAGAGATTTACTTCAGGGACTTGGCTCACAGAATTGTGGAGCAGGCTGGCAAGTCCAAAGCTCATAGGTCAGGCAACAAGAAGATGAAGGCATGTGAGAGTTCTGGCAAAATCTCTGTTTAGAGTCTGGAGGCAGAACCCACCCTTTTTGCTTTTAAGGACTTCAGTTGATTGACGTAGCCCTGCCCACACTGTGGAAGGTGTTCTGCTTTACTTGAGGCCAACTGATTTCATCATATATAATTTACTTTATAACAGCAACCAGACTAGTGTTTCACCAAACAGCTTGGCACCATAGCCTAGTCAAGTGGACACACAAAATTAACCATCACAAATCACAACTAGCTAATGGCTGACCAGAGATAGGTCCTCTGAGCCATTTTCTTTCCCACCTGACACCTCCTGCCATCATTTATAGTATTAAGTAAATCCCCGAAGCTCACTGTACCCCAGAATCCCCTCCTTTGAAAGAAAGATATTGCTCCTCTACTCCAAGAAATAACTAAATAACTTCTGTAATTCTAACATTAAAATATAAATGTTCAGTTAAAACTATTGGCACTTCAATATGTTTGGACTTTGTTTTAGTCATTTGGCTTTGTGTTTTCTTCCAGGGTCACATGGGTGACAAAGTGATAGGACCGAAAGGAGACCGGGTAATTTAAATTGTTCACTTCCGGGCAAGTTATCTTCAGTTCCACAGCTCACCAGCCTGTACATTTTATCCAGTTGTGACTTTGGAAACAAATGTGTGGGCCGAGCTTCAAGCTTTCCTTTGCTCTATCTTCTTGCATAAGAACTAAAGAGAAGATTAGATCTTTCAAATGTGTCAAGCTGATGATGTTTAGTTTTTCATTTCTGGGTGTATTTGTCTTTAGGGTATGAAAGGATTAACGGGACCCCCTGGACCACCAGGAACAGTTATTGTGACACTAACTGGCCCAGATAACAGAACGGTAACTCTTCAAATTTATTATTAGGGTTGTACTCCAGTTTCTGGGATAAAATCCTTGTAATTCCTACCCCCTTTGCAAGCTCTGTCATGCAAGCATGCAAGCTCAGCCCAGCCCTCCTCAGTGCAGCCCCAGATTCTGGGTTTTATTCCTTTTCCATCTTTCACTCATGAACAGAGAAAGAGCAGAGGCAACCAAGGCATCTCATTGAGGGTGGGACCCACATTTCATTTTGCTCACCTCTGTCCCCACCCCCTGGAAATGGCCCTAACGCAAAGCAGGAATTCCATGAGTATTTCTGAAGAATGGGGGTGTGGCTCTGATCCAGTGGGGTGATAGTGACCTAAGAGATGGGTGGGAGAGTGTCATAACCAAACAGGACATTTTTGCACATGGTTAAGTGCTATTCTGCTAACCAAAACGTCCGCAGTTTGAACCCACTAGCCACGCCTCAGGAAAAAGATGTGCTTCTGTAAAGATTTACAACCTTGGGAACCCTGTGGGGCTGTTCTACTCTGTCCTGTGGGGTTGCTGTCAGTTGGAATTGACTCCACAGCAATGAGGTTGGTTTGGTTTTCTTGTTACTCCAAGGACTGTAACTCTGCTCCTCTGCAAGGGTTCTATGACCCTGTTATTCTGAGCTTAACATTTGCTTTTTGCTCCTGAATTGGGATAGCCAGGAGCACCAGGATATGGAACTAAATTGAATGCTCAGAAGTTTATCCACAATATAATGCACCTATCCTAGATACTAGGGCGATCCCGGATAGCAGGGAGGGGGAGATGGGGAGGTGGGGGAGTGGGTAACTTTTTTCTGTAGATCAACTAAGAGACACAAAACATCCTCCTCTTATAAATTCATAAATAGTTGTGTATAATAACATCTTGATAGAGTATTAAGTTAATCCATTTTAGATATAATTTATTTTACAGCATTTTTTAGATAAATTTCACATACCATATAGCTCATCCATTTAAAGTATATGATACAGTGGATTTTAGTATATGCACAGAGTTTTGCAACCATCACAATACTTAATGTTAGAATATTTTCATTACCTGAAAATGAAACCTCTTGGTCATCACTCCTCAATATAGTTAATTTTTAATTAACAAAATTAATAAGAGTTAGAATAAAACATAATGAAATTTTATATGACTGAAGCAATAGTTCATATTAAAAACTGAGAAAGAACTTGCCTGAGAAAAAGGACTAAACTTTTCAGAGGCAATCAACAAAAATATTAATAAAAGCTAAAGCTTTAGTGGGGAAATTTTGTTATTGACTAAAAATTGATGGAAAATGCCTTACCTTGACAGAATCTGGGTTTGTAAGACTTGAACCATGGGAGAAAAACAAAAATGATGTCCTCAAGAGAACACGCACACTGAGGAAAAAATAATTTTAAAAAACTGATAGTGAATCAAATCTTCATTAGAACATTTACCCAGAAAATAATTGGTCCCAATGAAAATAATTTTAGCACATTACAAATGAAAATAAAATCCAGTAGAGGTTATCTGATTGTGCTTATAGAAAGCTGGTTCTTGAATTAACTAATTTTAATGTAGTTTGAGCCAGAAGATACTTTTCCTTTAACAAAAAGTACGCATATTGTTTCAGTGGATTCATGAGTATAAAAGTTGTAACATGAAAGACAGTAAGTTCTAGTGGGTGGTGTCTAGATGAGTCATACTAGCTTGTGAATCCTCTTTATTGGACACATACAGGACTGTTCCAAGTGTAACGGCTGAAAGCTTGTCATGCATTTTAACCACCTTGAATTGTTTCTGACAGGAACTTAAGGGGGAGAAGGGAGACAAAGGAGCAGCGGGTGAGCCCGGACCTCCAGGACCCCCAGTAGGTCATTTAGAGTCATATCGTTCCTTCAACGCATCAAAAAGTACCTTAGTTCATATTTTGATCAATGTTCTACTTCTTAATCTTAATATTAGTTAAAACATGATAATATTTGACTGCAAAGATCATGGATCTGCTCGAAGTATGTAATGGCCATGTGTAGCCTAAAATCCTTGCACTGTTTTACATGCATCCAGTATTAGCCATCTTATGTCTTATCCTAAACATGTGTTATTAAATACATACTCATAAATAAAATCTATCCCTTTGATGAATCCTCATTTTGAGCATTTTAAAATAAGGTAAAATAATCAGAAGGGACAAAATGATAAAAAAAAAAATGGAAATCAAAAACCAAGAATTCATAACACTTGGCATAACTCTAATTAATACAGGGGCCCCCTGGAGAAGCGTATGGATCTGAAAAGGGTGTTCCTGGAGAGCCCGGCCTACAGGTAAATTTGGAGAGTCAGTGCCATGTGCAGCCCTGTATTGTCAGGACTCTACACACCCAACTCAAACTAGCTTAGGTAAAAAAAGAAAGAAACATTTGGGAGGAAGTTCTGAGCTCAACTTTCTGGAAAACTCAGGGCTAGAAGAGGCTGCAGGGACATCAGAGCCTGAGCCAATAAGGCAAGACTCCCAGCTCACTTCTGCCTCTGTCTCTGTGTCAGCCGTTCTCTCCTTTGGCAGGTAGTCTTCTTCCTTGTGGAAGAAGGGAAAAAGCGCAGCAGACCACTTCAGGTGAATGGCCTCCGGGGACAGAGAGTGCTTTTCTGTCTGTGTCTGTATGGAGTGAAACCTGTGAGAGCCAGAACTCAATAGGACTGCCTTGTTTTTTCAGGTCTCACAAGTTTTCTGCCTTTGACAGGGTGTAGTCTTGCTTCTCCATTGCTCTTTTAATGGAAAATATTTGCATTTTCCTTCTCTGGCAAGTTTCCACCTTCCACAAGTTCAGCTTTTGCTAGTTTTACTGTATTCAATCCCAAGGAAGTATTCTTGTTGGCCCAGCTTCGGTTATATGTCCTGTTTTGGAAAAAAAAAAAACTAACTGTGGCCAGGAGGAAAAGAGCTATTTGGCTAAGCCAGCTGGGCAGTGGGCAACTGTGACTGACAGCCTCCTCAGAATCACACAGCATGAAGAAGGGGCAGCTCCCTGCAGAAAGCGAGGCATGCTGGGACCAGAAGTAGACAGCAAAGGATGCTGGGAAGACAGAAGCAACAGGGCCCATGGCTCCAGACAGCTCCACATTTATTAAAGTTACACAAATTACATATTTTTATTTTGTTTTGTTTTGTTCTTTCAGGGAAAACCTGGAAAAGATGGCATCCCTGGCTTCCCTGGCACTCCGGTAAAGAAATGATTTGGCCCATTGTTGTTGTTGTTGTTGTTATGTGCCGTCAAGTCAGCCCCCGACTCATAGCGACCCCTCCTTGGGTTTCCGAGGCAGTATCACTACGGAAGTAGGGTTGCCCAATCTTCCTTCCGAGGAGTGGCCCATTATAGTGAAAATGTTGGTACTAGCCCATGAAAGATTCCTGAGAGTTACTAAGGAGTTAGGAGAGGAGCCTTGGTGGCACAGTGGTTAAGTCACTTGGCTGCTAAATGAAAAGTTGGCATTTCAAACCCACCAGACAGATGAAGGCAGGAAGATGAGACAGTCTGTTTCTGTAAAGATTGACAGCCCTGGAAACCCTGTGGGGCAGTCAGAATTGACTTGATGACAGGAGGTTTGGTTTTTTGGTAAGTAAGTATAAAGAGTCTCTGGGTAGTTAAAATGGTTAAGGTGCTCAGCTGTGAACCAGAAGGCTGGAGGTTTAAATCCATCCAGACGCACCTCAGAAAAAAGGCCTGGCTGTCTACTTCCCAGAAACTCAGCCACTGACAACCTGGTAAAGCACAGCTCTGCTCTGACACTCGTGGGGTCTGAGTCCCTGAGTCGGAATCCACTCCACAGTGACCAGTCTGTTTTTTAAGTAGTTATAACCTAGCAAAAAACTTGTGACTTGTAACAACATTTGAGAACCATAGTTTCACATCCTCATTATGAATACAAAAAAAAAAAACCAAACACACGGCCATCGAGTCAGATCTGACTCACAGCGACCCCTCCTTGGGTTTCTGAGGCAGTATCTCTATGGAAGTAGATTGCCCAACCTTCCTTCTGAGGAGTGGCTGATGTGTTTGAACCACCATCCTCCTGGTTAGCAGTCAAATGCCTTAGGCACTATACCACCAGCTGTCCCTTAAATTGTTATGTTCATTTACCTCAAGTAGACACACGCCCTGGAGAGAACAATCATGGGAGAAGGAAGGGCTGCTTATGCACAGGGAGATAGCTCAGGGTGCAGAAGAGTATGAAGGGATGGACACTGGGAGGAGGTAACTATGGGGAGGAAGTGGGAGGGGAGCTGCTGCATTGTAAATTTTGGTCAATGACATGAGACAAAGTATATGTAAACTGCTATATGAAAAGTGAATTTACTCTGTAAATCTTCACTCAAACCCAATTAAAAAAAAAAAAAAAATTGTTATGTTATGTGCCTTCGAGTTCGACCTGACTCATAGCGACACCTCCTTGGGTTTCCGAGGCAGTATCACTATGGAAGTAGATTGCCCCATCTTCCTTCCAAGGAGTGGCTGGTGGGTTTGAACCGCCAGCCTTCTGGCTAGCAGTCAATTGCCTTAGGCACTATGCTACCAGAGCTCCCGTCCCCTAAATAGATCCTATTAATAATAGGAATTCAAATTATTCCTGCTTCATACAGAAGCAGTGTGTGTTCAGTGTGTTCTATTTTGTTCTTTTCTTTAGGGGGCCAAGGGTAACCGGGGCTTCCCTGGAATAAGAGGTGAACATGGCATTAAGGTAATTCCTCTCTAATGCCTTACTGTTAGCTTTTTTTAATTGGTTGGGTTGACCTACCCTCCCCTATACAATGGTACTAGGTACAAGGGATTTTAATCACAGACTTTAATAAAATGCCTTAGTATATTTAAGAAGAAGAGAGAGAGAAAGCAACTTAGACATTGGAAGGGTGGTCTTATGGGAAAGATATTGAACTTGTTCGGTATAGTTGCAGGTGGAAGATTTAGGACCAAAGAAATTTCAGCTCCCCATGAAGAAAAGTCCTGTAAACATAGAAATTTCTGGTGCTTAGTGGTCAAGCATTGACCAGACTCAATGAGTTTCAACCTGTGTCATGGTACACTAAAGAGTTGAGATTGAGTAATTGTGAATTATATTCGGGTTCTGATAACACATTACACACATGTACAAATAATGTGCATATGTAGGTGTGTGTGCAAATTCAAGATTTGTCTTAAAATAGTATCACTCATGATCACTTAAATTCTGAATTACTCTCTTGAGATGGAAGGAAATGGGGGGATTAAGCTGGGACTCTGAGAATTGCATATTATCTGCGTCCTGGTTTTCCTGAGCCTTGAGTCTGGGTGGGAACATGGGAATATTCAGTACATGTGGACATCATCCATTGAAGCTGGGGGCCTGGAAGAAACTTGGAGAACTGCTAGGGGTACAACAACTTTCCAGGACCCCATATATAAGAGTCCTGGCCCCCTCAGGAAATAATCTGAAGTCATCTTTCTTTTAAATTGATTTGTATATTACCTGCAAATCACATTACTTTTACATTAATGCATTGTCTAAGTGTGTATTTGCTTTTAAATATACTAAATATATGTAAGTATTCTCAGAATGTGTTCATCATTTGTAACTGTCTTCCAATACAGGGGTGGAAAGGGGACATTGGCCCTCCAGGATTCCATGGTCCAGTAAGTATAATTACAGCCAATATCAAGGTCATGGTCACTCAGGTCCTTCAAAGTATCAAGAAAATTTTAAATCAATATCTCCATTAACTTCATTAAATAGAGTTGATAGCATTTTATAAAAAATCAAACTAGGGCAAATACGGCTGTTTTCATCATTTGTCCATTTGTGTTTCCTGTTTGGTCCCCACACACTCATGATGCCCAGCCTGAGCTGTGGAGAAGAAACCTTTGTCTAATCAGACCTGGCCCGAGATGATCCTGCATCCTCAGACAGGAAGAAGAGGGCTGCTGTGCCCAGCTAGGACATGGGAGAGCAAGGGAGCCAGCTCCTAGCCCTGTCATCTGGCCTGGCTAGGACAACACCTGCACAGTAAAGCTGCAGACACTCAGCCATGGGTCCAATACAGGACCAGAAAAAAACAAGCCCCTCAACTTATACTCCACAGCAGTGGGAAACACACCCCTCTCCAGAGTGGCTATGGATTTGATGGCCGTCAGTGCCAGGGTGGCCATGGTCAGCATTCTGTGACTTGCAATTTAAGGAAAGAAATGGAGACCCAGGCTCTGAATTCTGACATTTGTAAATCTCCTGACCCAACAGATGGTGGCCATCAATAGTGTGCAGCTTAGGCACTACCCGTGACTGTGCAGGTTGGGCAAACCACACTTGGTAGCAAGAGTCATGGTTGGGGAGATTTTGTTAAAAAATGCAGATCTCAGAACCCCAGGCTAAGTCATGTCATTCCATAATTAGAGGCAGGGCCTGGAAAGCTGCATTTTTACATAATAAGCAATGATTCAGATGCAAGTCATTCTGAGACATTTTTATAGGGTTGCCCTGAAGATTAAATGGAGCATTTTGTGACCGTCCTTAGTGCAGTCACTGACAGCAGGTGCACATATATCATCACCAATTTTTTGACACAGATTATGTTATTAATATTGCTATTGATAATAGTTTTGTGATTTTTATGCACATTGATTAATCATAAGGCTCTTGTTGTCTCATCTTTAAGCAAATTGACAAAATAATTTGCCCCATGCCTAACGTGAGAAAACAAAACAAAAAATGTTGTCAAAAACCTTGTCAGTTGCACTTATGAGTCTTCTTGGCATGCCTAGCTTGCTGTGTGTTTTCTTTTGCTCAATTCCATGTAACTGTTGGCCATTTCCACTGACTGCAAGGAAGCTCTGCTTGTGTAGATGAATGGCTAAGGAGACCAGCAGTAGGTCCACTGGACATGCCACACACAATATTCATCAATTCTTGCAGGTAGATGATGTCCTGAAATTATTGTTGTTGTTGTTAAGTGCC